GATATTTCGACAAAGCGGCCATTTTGTTTATATCAACGAATAGAAATTTGATTAATAAATACATATGTACATACATACATACATACATATGTATGCACTCAAATGCGAATTGACCATTTTTAACAGCTTCCATTAGTAGAAGGCTTTCAGATGAATATTTCATAGAGCGCTGCTAGCATTAAAAAAAAAAACAACAACATGAATGAGAAATCTTAGTGAAAGCAATGCAAAGAGTAATTATGTTGTATCTATGTTTGTAAATATGTATGTTTTGTAGAAATACGAAATAGAACACTTGAAAGTAATAAAATAATTCAAAATAAATAATGCATGTCATTATAAACCATACGAAAGTACATAAACACATTTGTGTATACATTTACATGTGATCGCACATAGATTTGTAGTATATATTTGTAAGTAAAATTTTTCGGCGTACAATGGCACTAAATTATTAAAAAAGAAACAGCACTACACCACTTAAATTCTCGCATTCGATAATTTTGATTCTTTTCATCTTTTATCCATTAAGCGGCGAATAAGGCCGATGGACTTGGCTGACTGACAGGCGCGCCGCGCCGCTGCTGTAGCCAAGCGCATGAAGCCAGCTTAACTAAGCAGTTGAATGACTTTTAATGTTAAGGGTTTTGTTGTTGTGGTAGTTATTTGCGTTCGATGTGAGTGGGAGTATATGGGTTGCAGTATTTTATAGAAATATAACTAAAAAATGGTCTCATTCTTTAATCAGAAACGATTAGAAATTACCGTGTCGGCTAATCGCCTGAAAGTATGCTATGAATCATATGAAATTTTTTTTTTTTATAATTTAAAAAGGGATCAGATTTAAAAAAAAAAACAATACATATCCCTGAACACTTGAGAATTTCGATTGCGAGTTATTGTTTCGTCTCTCAGCTCTATCGAAAGAGTTCAGGAAACTCTTTCACCGGGCACAGTGAATTGGAAACCGGAATGAAGATGCGTCAATACAAACCACCTACAACAAAGAGATTTGCAAAGTCAATTGTCGAATTCTGTGATTTTCTCCCCTTCGGAAGCAGGCAGACTACACAGGACCTTTTTAGAGGGACAGTTAAAATCCAGTCCTTCTGGCGGGGTTCCTGTAGCAAAAGATAACAAAGAACGCCACAGATCACCGTGGAAGACTGGCACACAGCAAGATGTCTGTTTATCTGGTCTTCTGTAATCGCAATAGGTTTCTTTGAGTACCATAAACCCCCTGAAGCGGTTCTTACCAGCTATATGCAGGAAATCCTAGGCACAATCTCCATGCCCATTGAAAAGCCCCTAGTATCTTTCAAGCGTATGCCGTAACTTTTTGTGTGGAGTTAAATCTATTGTCGTTACAGCGATACGGGGGCAGAATGAAACGCCACACTGGAGAAGACATTGACCGTCGTATAAGTAAAGCCAGAGCGGTCTTTGGTTCTGAGTTCCAGCTTAAAGATTAGGCCTTACAAATCCAATGTACTCTGTTGACAGTTCAACCTGAAA